GTAACCAAATCGTACCAGGTGTGCTTTGGCACTCTGCTATCTTTCGGTCAAATCAATTCTATAGGATTAACTGATGAGAATAGAATCTGTAGATCCAACTAAGGAAGATGTAGGTTTTTCCAGGATCATTAGAGGAAAAAGGGTGTTTAAGAGAGACCCATAGTAAGTCACAAAGGAAGATATTTAGGGCAGTTAAGAGCATCCATGGGTGAGACAGAAAGGAGTACAGAGTAGGAACATCTGTTGATACTACTTATTTCATAGGGATTATAATTTATTGCAAAGGTTAGTGTTCTGGTACATAGAATAATGTTGTTTACTATTATCCACTATGTCAAATGGTAAGCCTCCTTACCAAACTCTCATTTGATGGCCGGCTCATTTGTGGGCAGGTTTATAGGATTCAGACTTATAAAGGATTAGGGAACCTCTGAGTTCTAAAATAAAAAATTTCCCTCTATTATTTTCCTTCCACAAAAAGGAAATATTTCTTCTTTGGCCCCTTCTTAGCCTAGTACAGAGCCCTTATTCCTGTCAAACAACATTTGAGCCCAAGTGTTACATCACGAGGAGAAAAGAATGCTGAACTCTATTCTGTTTCTATATTTGAATCATTGTCAATGCAAGTCCTGAAAGGGGAATTGTCTTCCCCAGCTATTTCGGTGTGAAAGTAAATTCCTTCCTCAAGCAGTGCAGCAGGTCTTCCACTTGTTGGGAGGTCTCTGCTCTCATCCTTTTCACTCTGGAACATTCAGGTCATTTCTTCACTTTCACCTTTAATGGTTTTATGCATCAGATCCAAATGCGAAATATAATCACATTTTTTTTCACTGAAGCCTGATGTTGACAGGTGGGAGACAAATGATGAAGAATTAACTTTTTTCGGTCTAATACTTTATGCTGGTTGACCAGGAATATGAAATTACAAGGGATTCTTTTTTAATTGCACGAGATTACAGAAATCTTACTGTATCACACTTCTGCAATAGATTTTAAGCCTTCATTCTACCTCAAAGTAACTATAATTTGTCTAAAATTAATTTAGTGACCCAGGTTTTTTGATAAGTGTTAGCAAAGTGTATCTTTCTCCATCCTTTTACTTTTTATGTATTTGAATGTTTAAAAAAGTGTATTAATAGAAAATAGTAGCTACAACAAAGCCAACACATTTAGGAGATGATTGCTGTTGACAAAATAGTGTATTATTCACAGCTCCTAAGAAGAAGGGTCACACCATGCCATTGGAGGCCACACAGGGAGGCACCAGGTCAGCCAGGAGGCAGAGGGCAAGAAGGACACTGTGGGCAGGAGCCTTGATTTTTGCTTCCATGAGAAGGAAAGGGCGAGGCATCTGGAGGACAGACTTCTCACAGCAGATCCAACTCTTCTCCTCTAACCCTTGGCACATTGCTGGCATGCATTTTGCACTCCCACATGCTAAAAAGCACCAAACTCATTGTTACTATTTTTTTCTGTACATTTATCTTTTAGATCAGTTAAAGTTAAAAAGAGTTCTTCATTTTTTCCTTTTCTGATATTCCTTCTTGCTTTATGTAGATCTGGGTTTTTAATCTACTTCTCTACCTGTAATCTATTTTCCTTCCTTTCTGACATTTTAATGTTTCCTTAGATTTCTTTTTCTAAAAAAAAAGTCTTTGTTTCTGCTTCTACCTTTTCCTTTTTTTTGTTTTTTATTTTTTAGACAAGGCCTCACTATATATCTCACTATGTATGGCTCAGGCTCCTACATGCTTGGATTATAGGCATGCACCACTACACCTGCTTTCTACTTTATTTTTGTAAAATAATTTCCCTAACTATAAACTTCTGGGCTGCTAGCTGTTTCAACAGTTGAAAGATTTCACTCCAATCTACTTGCCTGCAAAGTTTCTGTGCAGATGTCAGCTGTGATTCTCACCCTGGTAAGGTATACCCCACTCCACCTCATTTTCTCCCATCTTCCAGTTTTTTCTTTGTATTTCTGCAGTTTATGATATGCTTAGCTACAGACTCCTAGTATTTTATCTACTTGTTTCTCTGAAATTCATGGATTTGTAATTTGGGGTCTTATCATTAATTTTAGAAATTTTTCAGACATTATTATTTCAAAGATGTTTTCTGCTACATCCATGTTACACTTTTGTAATTGTTCCATAGTTATTGGATGCTCTGGATTTTTCTTTTTTCATTCTTTTGTCCTCTTTGTACCTCAGTTTGAGAAATGTCTATTTAATCATCTTCAAGCTCAATGATTCTTTCCTCAATTGTATGTAGTACACTGATGAGCTCATAAAAGACAGCCTTCACTTATGTTACTGTGAATTGACTTCTGGCAATAGTTTCTTCTTAGAGCTACTTTCTGCAGGCTATCTCCTTTATTTTTTTAGAGTTTAACATATGAACTATAGTTATTTTAAATTTGCTCTCTGAAAACTCCAACATCTGTGTTATATTGGATGACTGCTTTATCTTCATGTTTGGATTTCCTTGCTTTCTGGCATAACTTGAAATTTTTTGCTGAAAGCTAGATGAGTTTTATCAGGTAACAAGGTCTTGGGTAAATAAGCATTTGTATGAGGATTTATATTGTTCTTGTTAGGAGTTGAGCTTTTGCTAGCTGCTTAGTGTTTGTAACAGCTATAGACAGACAGTGGAGACTTCAAACTCTTCTGGTGTGTCCACCCCAGCTTTGAAGCTTCTCTTTGATCTACTACATTTTGCAGCTAAGTTCTGACCCATTATTACTGTTAATGTTGTACTAGATTGGAGTGGAGAAGGCATTCTTTAACTTTTAAATCAGGTCTCAGTCTTTTAGTTGTCATCTAAGGTGTGGCCTTGAGAAGTAATGAGCTTTCTGGGATCTTCCTGCTGAGAATCTGGTGGGCTTCAAGGAAAAGGCTGTGACTGTGGGGCTCCCTCATGAGTGCAGCCCCTGGCAGCTTTTCAGAGACCCCAGAAAAACTGCCACAGTTCTTATTTAAATATTCCTCTCAACTTGTGAAGGCTGTTACTCCAGGTATCTTTCTGGCTGGACTAACTCCTCAGATTTCAGGGTGATGGCTTGTTCTATGACTCAGTTCTCTGGTGAGTTCAAGAAAAGTCTTTGATCTTCAGTTTGTTCCGCTTTTTCTTGTTAGGAAAGAAGACTGGACTTTTAAGCTTCTACATGGAAGAGCAGCAAACTACTTTCAAATTGGCAAGTTGGATTACCACTACAAATTCGGCTCTTAATTACATTAGGAAATGAAAGAGAAAAACAATGAAAGCTTACTTTTCTGACTTCCATTGATTTTCATAAGACCTATCTGAAGGGGTAAAACATTTGAGAACTCAAGGAAAAATATCTATCAGAGGGCAGTCAATCCTCCAACTGCCTAGAGAGGGAGACAGCAAGGGCTAAAGAAAGAAAGACAATAGAGACTTGTGTAATTTCAAAGTACATGGTGGGCTGGGAGAACAGTGCCTCAGAGTGGGCAAAGACAAAGACACTCCAAGCTAGCCATTATTTATTGGATACACACAATAATTGGACAGAGTATCAGGTGACCTAGAGGGTGGCAGTAATCTTATGTTGGTGAGGACAGTAAGGAGAGCATTCTTAACAATAGTAGGTGGGACAAGATAGCAGGCTAATAAAGAAGTTGTTCTTCCCCTAGGTGAAACTTTTCTTTTTTATCACTTCTGGAAGAAATAGGATGTCTTCCATTGATGTACTCTTGCCATTGAGCATCATAGTATCATGGAACTACTGAGGCCTCAACTTGTGACTGGAAACAAAATGGAGTTATGTTTCTGCATGCCATAGCCTGTCACCTGGCAAGGTGACACTGGGTCTTAGACAACTATAGTTGTACTTTAATTATAAAATGATTTTTCCCCAAAATTATGTAGAATGGCTCTCAACAAATATCTTAAAGCAGATTCAAGAATAAGGTAAAAGAGAAAAGAATCTACTAAGAGCAGGATAATCTTTGGATTTAGCATTCAGTACTATGGAATTTTTCAGAGTAAAAGAGAGATTTCATTTATTACATGGAATAACGAAATAAACATAAAATAGGATTGTCTCAGGTAAACCAGGGCATATGAGCAGCCTTATTGATAGCTAGATTCCTATATAAAAGACAATAGGGGCCAAGACATTAAAGTAATTCATTTTTTTCTTCACACTGATTTTTACTGTTTCTGTAGTTTTGTGCATCTCCTTGGATTGAAAATACTCTATACATTTATTTAAAAATGAAAAATATATTAGCATCTTTTATTTACTAGAACTTTCTAATAGAAAAAATTATTGTATTGAATGTTATTTTTTTGTCATAGAGAAACATAAAAAGTCCATATGCTTCTCCAAGCCTGTTACTATTCATCTCTAGTCAGAATTAAAACAAGAAGATATAATATAATCTTATATTTACAGAGTATAACATCACTTCTAATTATCTTTTATATCTATGAGAATTAGTATCAAAGCCATTGAATTATAGAATGACTTCTCTTCAATATAGTCATATAATTCTAGAATTTCAAATTTAAAAGGTAATTCTGAGATCATTTATACAGCAGAATCTGAGTCCCAAAAAAGAAAAATTATTTCCTCAAAAAAAAATATGAGTGGCCGGGGATTTAGCTCAGTGGTTCTGGTGCCTGCCTCACAAGTGCTAGGTCCCGAGTTCAATCCCTGGTACCAAAATAAATAAATAAATATGAGGGAAGAACAGGACCTGGAACCCATGTTTTGCAGTGCCAAGTCCTGCAACTTATACAGCTCATGTTGAATGGATGTTTGTAGATGGACAAATTGCCAGAAATAGAAACAAATGTAGATACAGATATACAAAATCACAACTTGAGTGTTGCTCTTAGAAAATCATTAAGACATACTTTGATTTTCATTCATGCTGAATGTAATGATCAAAATCTGCCTTATTATTGTTCATATTTATTTTTCTATAGATAATATAATATAAATAATTTATTGGAACAAATGTGAACATACATTTTATAGAAAAGAAACAAATATATTTTATTAAGAATCAGAGGGGTAACATCTCAGTCATCTCCTTCTACAAATCCAGTTAAAAGTTTTCATTCTTCTCTACACAAAAATCAAATATAAAAATACACAAAATTTTGTCTCACATTTGATTTTCTTTTTCTTTTCTTTTGTTTTTTGAGACAGGGTCTCACTATGTAGTTCAGGCTGGCCTCAAACTCACTATGTAGCCCAGGCTGGCCTCCAACTCATGATGATCCTCCTGCCTCAGTCTCCTGACTGCTGGGACTATAGGCATGAGTCACCATACTGGACTCTCTAAATTCAAAGTGAATTTATTGGAGCCCTCAACAGATTCTAGAGAACCTAAGATCCTGAGAGATCTTTATAAATCAAGAACTCATGGTGCAATAACATACAAAATTCTAGAAAAGCATTATACCAGGATGGTCACGCATTGTCCTGAGTTTAGTAGGTATGTAGCCCCCCAGCTACATAGTAGCCCTCCTTTTTCTTAGGGGGATGCATTCCAAGAATCCCCAGTGGATGTCTGAAACCTTGTGTAGTACCAGACCTATATATACTGTCTAGTATAGTTATATATATGACAAGCAATGTTTTATATACATTATTATGTATAATATATTGTTTATATATTTTTCCTCTACAAATCCATGATAAAATTTAATTGATAAATTAGGCACAGTAAGAAATTTTAAAAAATAACAATAGGGCACTTATACTGTAATAAAGTTTTTGGTATTATTCTTGGACTTTGGGGCTATTATTAAGTAAAATGCAGGTCAGTTGAACACAAACACTGCAATACTGCAACAGTGAATCCGGTACCTGAGAGAGGTACAAAGCAACTAACAGATGGGTAGCATATACAGCATGGATTCATTGTAGGCATGATTCACATCCTGGGTGGGATTGGGTGGGACAGCAAAAAATGTTAATCTTGCTATTCTGAAGGGCACACAATTTAAAAATTATAAGTTGTTTATTCCTGGAATTTTCTATTTAATATTTTTGGACTGCAGGTTACTCAAACCCCAAAAGTGAAATCATAGGTTAAGGGATCCTTGGGAGAGTAGGTGGGCAAGTATGCATATGTGATCTGAAAGGGAGCTAGACAGGTTCCTGCCCATGCTCCATTTACCGGTCTCTTCTATCCAGAGCTATAGTAACCAGACCCTTCCCTTGATTTTTTCAAAAAGTGGCTTTCCCAGCAGGCACTGTGCCACTGGGGACGATGGCTTTTAGGCTTTCCAGAGGGAAGAGAATACCTAGAACAGCATTTCTAGCTATTAAATGAATAAAAGGTTTTCTTATGGTATTTAGCAAGTGAGATTAAGTGTGACCTTCTAACTCGTAAAAACCTAACAATACGTATACTCTATTTAATAAAGCAGGGAAGAGTATGATTAAACTTTAATTACTAAAGTTATTTTTCAGAACGCAACAGTCCCTCACTGAGATGTTTCTGTACTTAACTACTGAATATTCAGATAGTGCACATTAAACTTGTGAGACCAAACTTGCTTAGAACTTGCCCTATACAAATGACTACATCAATACATAGCAGATGTTATAACATGCAGAGAACACCCAGAGATCAGAAAGGAGGGGAAATGTTTATTCTTTTTAGCTGCTTTTATCTGAAGTGAGTATGAGCTTGTAGTCTGTCTCTGGTAGTAGGCAGCTGTTTCTCCCTAGGTTTCAGGCTAATTGGTTAAAGACCTCAGCTCCTTGATGAGTTCTAGAAAAATTGTGAACTTGCAGTTCATTCAGGTTTTCTTTTTTTGAGGGTAAAAAGGACCCTTTCTGGTTATTTATATCCCAAGCAGAAACTAGAAATCTCTATTCAAATAAAAAAAAGATATGACCTGATTTAAATGTTTAATAGATCATTTTAGCTCCCATGCAAAAAGCAGAATGAGCCTGAAGCAGGGGCAAGAGTGAAAATAGAGAACAGGAAGGTGGCTACTGCAACAGCCCATGTAGGAAGAGACAGAGGAATGAATTAGTTGTTATAAAATCACAAGAAGACTAATGTCTATTTTAAATGCTTTATGCAATAATTTTCGGATTTCATTTTCCAGTGTCAGCAAGGTAGATTGAAAATTATTTTTAAAATGGAAACAAAGCTTTTGTACATAGGGAGGAAAAGGGGCCTGAGGAGAGGGGAGGATGGGCAAAAAGGGGCAAGATATACCATGTACAGGTGCAAATTCCCTATGATAAGCATTACCATTATGTATACCTAAAATGTACCAATAAATGTTTTGCTTTATTACCTTCTTTTGGGGGGGGTAACCAGGGATTGAACTCAGGACCTTGCACTTTTGAGGCAGGTGAATGCTTTGCTATTAAAAACAAAAAAATTTTTATGTATATACACAAAATGTTTAAAACACTGCATTCTCCATGTGTTTTTAATAATCATAGTCAAACCAAGCATGTGACATGCCTATAATCTGAGCTACTTGGGAGGCTGAGGCAGGAGGACTGCAAGTTCCAGGCTACCCTAGGCAATTTAGTGAGATCCTATCTCAAGATTTAAAAATGAAATAAAAGCCTGGCATGGTGGTGCACATCTATAATCCTAGCACTTGGGAGGCTGAGGCCGGAGGATTGCTATGAGTTTAACTATACAAGCAGACCCTGTCTCAAAAAAAATGAACAAGCAAAAACCGAAATAACATAAAAAGAGCTAGAGATACAGTTCAATGGTAGTGTACTTGCCTAACATGTGTGAAGTCTTTGGTTCAGTCCTCAGGAACACCTCCCAGGATTCAAATATGATGATTCATTTTAATACCCAAAAATATTCCCGTGGATCACAATATACACTGAAATGTATTTTGTTTTAAGGTTTGTGATTCTTCTTTGTAAAATGATTTTAAGTCACCCACTGGCTCCAAGTCTTACCTGCTAACAATTCATATTTAGACAAATCCTGAACTGTATTTCTCAGATCTATTTAAAGTCCTTCCCTTTCCTCCTTTCCCTGAAAAGTTCAGCCACTGAGCCTGTTGTAGTATCAGAGCCTGAGCCTGTAAGGAGGATGTGTGAGGAGGACCCTAGGAGTATATGCAGGTGCCTGCATGGGGAGGCATGCAGGGCAAAGCAGTGCATCCCTGAAAGGTGGGGAGCATGCCCTGCAGTGGCCCTAGAGACAGTGGTATACAGGATATGCAGCCCAGCAGGAGGGTCAGCTTGGGGAAGGGTGTTATGTGCAGGAGTCAGCCCTCAGAAAGGAGTTGGGATCTAAGGGGTATGGGACATACGGAACATCATCTTGGCAACTTATACCTAAAAGGTTGAAAAAGTGGGTTTTTTTGTACTGTTCTTGCAACTTTTATGTAAGTTTGAGATTGTTTCAAAATTTAAAAATCTAAAAAAAAGAACTCTTCAAGGAACGTGTGTTGTTATTTGGATCAAAAAATGTCCCCCAAGAGGCTCAGAGGTGTTCAGAGGTGGGGCTTTTAAATCATGGGAGCACTGTAGTCACCGATGGTTTAATGCTGAAATCTCTGAAACCTTGACTCAAATCCTTTCTGCTTTAAGTTATATAGTCAGATATTTTATCTCAGTGATGGAAAGGTGACTCTTACAATATGCTTTTCAACACTATTTTCTGACACTGTGGTAACAAATGACTGAATTATGATAGATGTAAGTTTTTACAGCACTGGTTTTTTTTTTTAAGACAAGGTTTCACTCTGTAGTTTACGCTGGTCTTGAATTCACTATGTAGCCCAGGCTGGCCTCGAATTCCTGGCTATCCTTCTGCCTCAGCCTCCAGAGTGCTGGCATTAAAGGCGTGAGCCACCATGCCTGGCTCTTTCCTCAATTTTTAGGAGGTGATATACTCTTTGCTCCTGTGGGCTATCCTTATTTTCTTTAAAGCAAAGTTAATGGTATTTATCTTAGAAAAATTCAAGCTGAGTGTTGATTCTTTTGGAAGTGAAAACATTTGAGATGAGACAATGTTTACTATGTGCTAAATCTTAAAGGAACAAGTAATAAAAGCTTTATGATTTATAAAAAAATAAAATCAACAGGTTTAAAAAAAATTTTGTTAGACGTATATCTTTCATGGAATGTTTTATTCAAGTCTGTTTGTTGAGATTTAAAGTTATTTTCCTCATGCTTTGACTGAAATGTGAGAATGAAATAATAAAAATAAAAGGAAACAAACATTTAAAATTTGTTTCATTGGCTGTTTCCTTTCCCAGGTTCTCTCTCTTGCTTCTAGGAGTTGGATGGATGGTAATTTCAGTTGTTACTAAGATGCCTAAGTGTCTTCACAGTGATTCAAATGTATTGACAAATTTATTTATTTATTTTTGGTACCGGGGATCGAACTTGAGACCTTGCGCTTACGAGGCAGGTACAGGAACCAGTGAACTAAATCCCCGGCCCTAACAAATTTATTTTTATTAACTACCTACTTAGGTGCAAAAACAGTCACCCATGAACCTGTTTGATTTCTAAGCAGAAAAAAATTATTTCTTTAACTTTGTGTTTAGGGAACACTGTACCAGATATGAGACAAGAAATTCAAAAGGATATATATATAAAATTCTGTGCCAGTTGCTGTCCTAAGTACATTTTAAATCATTTACTGTTCAGACAATTCCATGAGGCACTTTTCTTTTGGTATAGAATGGAAAACTGAAATACACATGAATGTAAGTAACATATCCAAAGTCTCTCGGGATAGTTGATCTATCAGTTAGTCTAGCTCAGGAGACCTGCTCTGAAGCACTGGGCTACACTCTCTTCATAATAAGAAGTGTCCCAGGTAGATTATTTATATGAAACAGATGTTTGAAGAACCTTAAGAATCCATTAAATTTCAGTTTAGAATTGCAGAATGAGTAGATACCTGTTTTTCTCTGCCTAGAGATACAAAGAAAAATCAAAGAATAAATCAATAATAAAAAAGAGAATGGAAATGGACTTGTGAGTTCTGCTACTTTCTGGAATTCAGAAAGTGGATGGAGGGTTGGCAAAAGGAAGAACAGAAGGAAGAATCCATCCTCAGAATGCGCTCCTGATAGGGTGTGGTGGTGGGAACTGCTCTTCCCAGGACACTGGCAACTCTGGATCAGGTCTGGTGCAGGATGCAGGAGTCAGGAGGAGGCTAAGAACAGAGATTAATTTAAAAATTAATGAAACACCTGTGTCAGCCAACTTGCTTCACAAGGGTAAAGGAGCTTATACCCATATATACTGACTCCTGGGAAGAGCTTAGGACTTAAGTATGAGGATTACTGCACTTGATTTTAGTTGTTGGAAGGTATCCCTGGTAGGATTTGAGTCTCCCTACAGATGTAGCCCAAAGGAAGATAATGCGAACCCTTGTGATGCAGAATAAGAGCATGTAAGAAAACCAGGTACATCTATGTAAGAACAGAGAAAATCTGGACTATTCAAAAAAACACTTAATCTTAATTATGAATATAGACTCTTGGGTATATATGGGAAGTAGTAACGAGGGTGGGGGGAGAGAGAAAGAGAGAGAATATTAATTGCCCCCGAAGAATCAAAAGATAATCCTAAAGCAGTTCTCACTTTTCAACGTTCTGTTAAGCATGAATTTCATTTACAACAGTGAAGGTCAATTATACTAGTCCAACAACATGGTTCAAGTATCCATTACCATGATATAGTAACTGTAATTGCATAAGTACAAAGTTCACTATTCCATCCACAAATAACTAATGGAATGTACATAACTATCATTCATTTTACTTCTTTTAAAGACTGGCGATTGGTCATTTCACATTTGTTATTCAGATCTCCTAGAGACAGCCAAGACAGCAAACGTGTAGTTGTGTTGCCTCATTTCCCAGTCACAAATGCACATGACATTTCACAAAAATGGATAGTCAGATCAGGAAATCAGCCAATAAAAATAAAAATGCATCAAAGAAACTGAAACTTAAACATAAATGGAGTTAGACAAAATAATCATTGTTGACACTGTCAACATTTAAGAGGCTCTAGATGACCAATGGAACTTAGAAGAAGCAACCTAGTGTTGTGCCCAGATCGTGAGGTCCCCAAAGACCACCAAGGAACCGATTCCGATGCAAACACACGAGGGTCGTTTATTTAAGCTCGAGCAGGGACTCTCAACTGTCACCGACGCAGCGGGTCAAGATTCAGAGCCCTGACTCTAAAACACCAGGGGTTTTTATAGAGGTTACAGCAAGGCGCAGGGTTTCGAAAAGGTGTGGGGTTTCAAATCACACGCAAATCACACAATTGGCTACCATTTAGCAAGTTTTAAAAGTTTAAACCTAATTGGCTGGGCCTTGTGCGCTGAACTGCAAACGGCTGCTCAAGTCATTGAAAAGAACATCTGGGATACTGAGGTACTGGGGTAACTACTGATTAGCTGTTGCAGGTCATCGAGAAGAGCATCTGGGACATTGAGGCAGCTACCGATTAGCTGTCGCTAGGCTAGTTACTAGGGGACTGCTGGACATTATCACAGGCAAGTGGCCAAAGTGCATCTTGTGGTTTTTCTTGGAACTAGAATTTATGTCCAGGCCACCTTTACTCTAAAATGGGGCCAAAATTTTAAAATGGAGTCACTCAGGTCTCACACTAGTTGATTTAAAGGAAGAAAGTACAGTTGGCTCTATGAGTTCCACATCCAGGGATTTAACCCAACCCAACTGAAAATATTTAAAATAAAATACATATGTACTGAATATGTAAAGACTTTTCTTGTTACCTAAACAATACAAATATTCATATAGCATTGATTTATTAGCAATTACAATGTAGAGATGGATGATTTAAAATATTAAGTGTATGTAGCTTATATGCAAATACTCCATCTTTTTATATGAGACTTGAGCATCTATAGATTTGGTAACTCCAAGGAGTTCTAGAACCAATCCCCATGGATTCTGATGCATGACTACAGATGTAACAAAAAGGATGAAGATGTCTCTGAAGTGATGTCATCAACAAATTTCATATTAATGAAAATCTAGAAATATTTCATGACTTTGAAAGCAAAAAGGATAAAATGCTGGAAGCTGATTCAAAGTTAGAAGTATAACAATTTGTCAAAACAGAAAATTTCAATTTTCATGTTACTAATGTTTTAAGATGTACTCAACATTAATCTTGCTTTATTATTTTTAATTTCCCTTTACATTTATAACAAACATTTTAATGTTTGACAAAAATTTTACAGGGAATGGAACAATATTTTTCCCATTAATTATTTAAGATCCTTCTGTATGTTTTCAGCTTTCAGTCATTTTCTCTGGTTGCTTTCTTAGATGAAAGATATCTTAGATGAAAATTCATTTAAAAGAAATGTAAAAAACACCAATAAATTTGATCTAGACTAAGCAGAAAAAACAAGAAAATCTGAACCTACTTAGTGATTTTTAAGAAATTGTTATTTTTTAGGTGTAATACTGTTTTGTTGTGTTTTTAAAATCATCCTCTACACAGCAGCAGGATATTAGAAATGGAACCTCCAGGCCCTTGTTTCCCCATGAAGATACCAATTTAAATATATTGACCAAATAGCCTTTGAGAGAACTCCAAAAATCAGTAAAGAGGTTCCAGCACTCAGAGGAGTGCAAAGCTAAGAATTAAATCAAGGAAGAGAGAAGTCTCTCACATTTAACCCACCAAAACCCCTCTTGTGCTCCCCACAGTACAGAGTAATCAGAAGAAAACTCCCAACTCCTGGGTTCTCCCTAAGGTGAGAAAAAAGAGCAGAAAATAGGGCCCACATACTGTCTTTAAGAGGACTGCCCTGGGGGCAGCTCTATCTTGCCTGACTTATTGTAGTGAGAGAAAAAGGTTCATAGCTTGGAAGCTAAATTGGGGACTGCTGGGAACAAAGGTACTACATAAGCTGACTGAGGAAGAATGCAGTATTGAATACAGATACCAGAGAAATATGTTCTACAGAAATTACAGGCCTGAATAATACAGTAACTGAACTAAAAAATTCACCAGAAAATGGTTATGTATAACAGAATTTTTGGATGTGATTAAATTAAACTGCATCAGTTGGAAGCAGATTAGAACTTTAAAATGCTTTAGATAATCCTGATAGTAACCATAAAGAAAATACTTATAGAAGATACACAAAAGGAAACACAAAGGGAATCAAACTGTGCCACTACAAAAATCATGAAACATGAAGCAGCTTGAGAAAAAGAGACAAAATGGCTACAGACATACAGAAAACAATGAAATACCAATACTGGGTCGAAAAGGAAAAAACTAAACCAAAGTCTTTGTAAATAGGGAGGGGTGGAGGGGTGGAAGGGAGGGCAAGGGAATGGGGAAAAAAATAAGAACCAAGATATATCATGTAAAGGTACAAATTCCCAATGATAAATGTCATCCTATTGTATACATAAAATATACCAATAAACTTAATGAAAACAAAAAATACTAAGCCATTCACAGATCAATATAAATTATTAAACTCTTCAAATCAAAAGACACAGATTGGATGAATGGATTTAAAAAAGATGTAACTATATGTTATTTATAAGAGACTCCCTTAAGCTGTAAGGATGCATATAGGCTGAAAATGGAAAAGATATTCCATGCAAATGGTAATCGAAAGAGAAAAGGGGTGGCCCACTGTCAGAAAAAAAAATTGAATAAACTATTGTGACAGGAGACAAAAGGACTATAAAAAGATAAAATGTCAATTCATCAAAAAGTTACAATAATTATAAATATTTAAGCACTTAACATCAAAGCTACCAAATATATAAAGCATAAATTGACAGAATTGAAGAGAGAAACAGACAGCAACATAATGGTAGAAGATTTCATGGGCCAGTGATTTAGCTCAGTGGTGCTCAGCCTGCCCAGATACAATTCGACTTTCAATAATGCATAGAACGACCAGATCAGTAGGGAAGGAGAGAACTTCAATAATACTGTAAATCCATTAGATCTAAAAGATACACACAAAACATACTACCCAACAATAGCAGAGTACACATTCCTTCTCAAGAACATGGAAAATTATCGGGATAGACCACAGATCAGGCCATGAAATAAGATTTAACAAACCTAAGAAAACTGAAATCGTAGGAGCATCTTTTTCAACTACAATGGAATGAAAATTAGAAATAGCCAAACAAACACTGAACACTTAGGTGGAAATAAAACAGGAATTCACTAGAGAAATAAAATATCTTGAGACAAATCAAAATGCATTCCATAACTTGGAATGCAGCAATACCAGCAATGAGAGATTGCAAAAAGATCCTAAATAAACAATCTAATTTTACACCTCAAGGAACTAAAGAAGAAAAAACTAAACCCAAAATTAGCAGGAGGACAGAACAAAGATAAAAGAAATAGAAAATAGAAACAATGAATGAAGCTAAGAGTTTTCTGAAAAGAAAAAAGGTTGACAAATATTCAGCTACATTAATTAAGAACAAGTAGACTCAACTAACTAAAATCAGAAATGTGCTGGCCATGGTGGTTCCCACTTGTAATCCCAGCACTCTGGAAGGCTAAGGCAGGAGGATTGCAAGTTTTAGCCCAGCCCGGGAAACTTAGCAACTCAGTATGAACTTGTGTCCAAAAAATAAAAAAATAAATTAGAAGGACTGGAAATGTAGTAGCTCAGTGCAAAGACCCTGGGTTCAACCGAAGTATGGTATTAAGTGAGTGAATGAATGAATGAGTAAATAAATAAAATCAGAAATACAACATGAGATATTACAACTGATGCTATAGAAATAAAGATTATAAAAGATTGTTATGACTATGTACCAACAAATTGGATAACCTAGAAGACATGGATAAATTTCTAGAAATATACAATCCACCAAGAGTTAATTAGGAATTTAAAAATCAGAACAGATTTATGACTAGGAAAGGGAATAAGTAACCAAAACTTGTCAACAAGAAAAGCCTGAGACCAGATGGTTTCACCAGAGAATTCTATAAAACATTTAAAGAAAAATTAACACCAAAGCTCCTCAAATTCTTCCAAAAAATTAAAGATAATTTCAAATTCATTCTATGGGGTCAGCATTACACTAATGCAAACCTGGACAAAGATACTACAAGTAAAGAAAACGAATGACCATTATCTTTGATAAATATTGATGTAAAAATCTT